AATATATATGTGTGTATTTTTTTTTTATTTTATTTTTTTATATATAATAATTTATATATTTGTGTGTATTTTTTTTTAATAATATTTATATATATATATATATATATATATTAGCTTTCCTTATGATCTGGTATTGCTTTCTTCTTTTATCAGATATTCAGAGAATTCCAACTTCTTACAAGAACAGATATTTATAAGAAAACAAGGCACATTTTGGAATTCTATTCAGAAAAAATACTGACTGCTTTTTCAGTTGTGGACAATCCAATCAACATTGCATTGCAAGAAAAAATGAAAGAGTACACAGATGAAGATATGTTGAAGTGTTAGTAAACCTGGGGTCGGGTGAGCCGGTCTGTTATCTGTGTAATGCAGGATATTTAGGAAAGCTCTGCTTTGGTAATAAGTACAATTCAATGAAACAACTGATGTGGGGGAAAAAAACATTTTTTCAAATGGGGAAAATAGAGGTATGGATTTAAAAAGTACACTCAATACTGTGAAATTACGTTGGGGGAACTAGTACCTGTTAGTTTTATTATACAAATTACAAACTCGACAAGCTTATCCTGAAAGCTGCAGAGTACAGAATTCGTCTCTCCTGGCAGTGACCTAGAAAGCAAAACATGAGGTCTCCAGGTTTATTACAGGTTGACTTAAATAAAAGGTTGTGAAGCATTCCTCTAAGGCTTGCTTGTTCTCTGTGGAACCTAACTGTAAGAGTCCAGATGTTTTAACACCAGCTCTGTTTACAACTGTCGGAAACCAATTTTTACTCAGATACCAACATGTTTGCTCTGACAGATATGAAGATGACAGCCACATGTTTACTCCTCCCAGATGTTTTCGGGGATGATCCCAGCCTTTTTGCAGTTGTGAATGAGAAGGTACGTGGTGTGTGAATGGCCACTGGTTTGCCATTCTACACCTCCATATGGCAATTTATTTAAAAGCACCATAGTGGTCCATTTGGAAGTCTGTTTTGTCATATTTGTAGATATGCTACATTGTAACAAGCTCATTCATTGTGATTTTATGGTTCAGTTCAGGCATGTTTGATTATTTAGCTACCTTATCCATCACGGGGTAGTGACTCTCTTCTTTTTCACAGGTTCAAGTGTCCACGCCTGTGTTGGAAGTTAAAAACCCTTTCAGCATCGATGTCTGTGAGTTTTCTTTATATTTAGACAAAGAGAAGCTCACAAAGGTGGATGACTGCGTGACAGCTGTGGCGGCTCTAGTGGCTACCTTTCATGTGTTTGGGATTGAGTGTCCAAGAAGACTGTCCCAAACCCTCAACTTCCTAGAGACATGGATCTTTGATACGCATAGGCCCTGTTTCCCTTCTTTGAAAAAAAAGGAAAGGGAAGTAGGATTTCAGCCCCCAGTTACTTAACAGCTAGTAAATATTGTATCAGAATTTATCTCTGGAACAAGCTTTATAAAAAATTGTTTTGATTTAGGATTCTGGTAGAGGTAGTATTATAAAATCATCTATAAAATCAAAGATATTAATGAATTTAAATGCCTTCAATCTTTACACTCAAGATACTTAAGTTCTTTGTGAAATTCTGTAATAAATACTACTGAAGCAATTAACACATTCTTTCTTTTGATTTGTGTTTTTAAAATTTCCATGGTCAAAGCTTTACTTTCAAGGGTGCCCTCTTTAGTTTTGAAAAAAGATACTCTGCACTTCAGGCAAACTCAAATCCTTCCCGTTAGGATATGGCCTTGCACATAATTTGATGTGCCCAATTTTCAGCTGCACATTTATGGCCTGTGGGTAGCCTCCCTGTCTTTGGTCTGACTTGTAAACATCCTAAACTTGAAAATTTTAATTAAGGGGCACATACCTGTAGTTCTCTTACCTTGATGAATTGTCTGGTCCCAACCAGCTGGTTTCCTTCATTCACTTATTGAGAGCAAAGGTACCGTAGTACTGAGGTCTCACATTGCCAGCTGATCTTGCTGGCCAAGCTTCTGCTGTGTTCTGTGTCCACCTTTTATTGCTTCCTTCCCAAGGGAGTAGTGCTGCATGCCCACTCTCCACTGCCCAGAGTCCCACATGAAAACTCTGCTCTGAACAGTGGTGGCACAAGAATTCTTGCTTGGGTCTAAAAAGACTCACTGTACTCTTACTTTTTTTAGAATATTAGGCAGGGAAAAGCTACAAAACTAGTTTGTTTGCAATTCTTCAGTACTACAGATTGAACCCAGGGGTTCTATACCACTGAGCTACATCCCCAGCTCTTTAATTTTTTTTATTTTCATAGAGAATATCATAAGTTGCATAGATTGGCCTTGAGTTTACACTCTCAGGGATAGAGTGCTGAGATTTCCATGGAATCTTGTACCATCCTAATGATGCTTATGCCTTGCCTCTACCATACAATGGCACGCTGTCTAGACTGGATGTGTTAAGTATGATTTAGAAATCTCATTACAACATATGCTTTAAACTAGAAATGAAAAATTCTTGATGTGTATAAATCCTACTTGACAAAACCATGTAATTTTAAGTTTTTTGTTGTTGTTATTGCTCATCATATCTTGGGACATAGTTTGACAAACCATACTAAATCCTAATCCTAGAGATTTATTAGATAGCTGCCCTTTTTCATCTCCTCCTTTTTGTGGTCTTGAGGACCAAACCTAGGGCTTCATGTTGCCGGGCAAGCACTCAACCTCTGAACTATCTCCCGACCCCTACATGGCTGTCTCAATACCCTTATGCTTGATGTTGTCCATGATCTTGTTCTACCTCTCCTGTGTGGCAAGCTTCCTTAAAAATCATACATGTATAAAGAAAGTATCTGTAATTAAGACTTTATTTCATTTATATCAGGTATAACAAGTGCAACTTGAATGTACAGATTCTGAACAGAACATAAAAAAGGGGGAAAAACCAACAACGAAAACTTATTTATCAGTTTCATGCAAAGAAACGAATGGGACACTGCAGATGTCACTGACCCTCTTTTACCTTAAATCATGACAAATGCAAAGGACTGCTAACAGATCCCAACAGAGCACATTAAAGGAAGTTCTACATCAGGAAAAAAAAAAAAATGAGAGCAACTAAGGAAAGGGGTGGGACTTTCATCAGAATTCAGACAGCATGCTACAAACTTACTTTCTATTTTTAAAATAGTCCTTGAATAAATGTCTAATCCTGGAATTCAAAAGTACATTGAAAGACTGACAAAATAATTTACTTTTTCCCTTAGAAATGCATTCTTACAAAAGAAACACTGCCAACTATCAGTTTATAGATAATCAAGGGTTTTCGTTTAAAGTGCATCCGAATGCTCAGATAGTGAGACAAAGTATTTTACAGAAAGGGGAATCCTTCCACAAGGGAGGTTCTTGAATGACTGCTTTGGGATTCACCTTCCTGACCTATGAGCACAGACATTTGTGTCTGAGGGTGCGGCTCCCTCACTCCAGGCCCGCAATATAAAACCTAGACACTTGTTCTTCAGCCAACCCTGAAGAAAGTCTTTGGGTTTGGAGGACACCTCAAGACTGGAGACAGCTCTTCATGGATTAGTGTTTCCACCAACAGAATGAGCCTTTCATTGCTGAAAAGCTACTTCAATGACAATTAGAGAAAAGCTCAAGATAATCTCATAAACAGTTCAAGAGCCCTACAAACAGCCCCCCACTGCAATGTAACCACACATTCCTCTGGTACCATCTGACTCTCGTAAACAACACAGGCACCACGATGTATGAGACTGATGCCACTCAGATATGCTACCTAATTTATTTATGTTTATATATTTTATTTTTCAATTCCATTCTTTTATATACATGTTTTTGGTAATTATAGTAAAGATGCTGGTGAAAAGTAATTTGTTTAAGATTTCACATAATGCGTGCAAAAGTAAAAACACTGATTTAAAGAAAAGTAATTTTTACAACTCTTCGGCCCCAACAGATGATGGCAAGCAGTTAGGCAATACCATGACTTGCAAAGTTATACTTAGCATCATGTTGCAATTCAAAATATGGCACAAATGAACAATACAGGTAACAGTCCCACTGGCTAGACTCAGCCAGGTTTTGACTAATTTGGTATAAGTTGAAATTCAATTATATAAAAAGGTTTCTGAAAGTACTGAAAAAGAAAAAGTGTACATGAAAGAGAATTCAACAATGTTTACAAAATGCCAAAGTTCTTACTCTGCCCCCCCTTACCATAAATAATTAATGAGGTTCCCTTTCCCCCACCCCCCAGCCTCAAAAAGATTTACAAAGATAAATTTAGCTCAGTGAACAGAACCAAAAGATGACTGTTGTTAGACAGTACCTGGTTAAAAGCTCAAGCACTTTCCTAAGAATTCATATATATTGTCTCTTGAGGAATATAAATATCAGATAGTGTTGCTCTTTTGAGTTTTCGAGACTTCTCGCTTAGGAGTTACATCCGTCCTTGTGCTTTGAATAAAACATGAGCTTTAAAGCAGAAAGCTGATGGTACTCAGAATCCACCATCTTCAAAGTTCATTGTGAGAATTCTTCTCTGCAGCTTTGAACATCAGAATAGAATTGAAAATTTTGAGAGCAGGGCCCAGCTTAATGCTCATGATTTTAACAATGTCCGTTTGAGTCATGAGTAGAAATGCTTCTCCATCGATTTGCTAAAATATGGGGAAGAAACAGAAGAACGTGGATTAGCCAGGAGTTGTGCTGTGGAAGCATCCAAGGTTAAGTTCTTGCTGGCCTCCACACAGGAGCTACACAGAGGCTTGGTGTGCAACTGCATTTCCCAATATTACCTAACCCAGACGACTCAAATTTGGCCTGGGAGCAGAGCCCACAGGAAAATGAAAGTGCCCAGCCCTTCTTGTGATTCCCATGAGTTAGGTGCCTAGTCAAGAAGAACATAGGAAAATCTAGGGTGCCCCACATCTAGTTCAGCAGACTTTTAAATTAAAGATAATAAGCACACAATGTGGACATAAGCCAAGGAATTCGAGAAAGTATTCAGCTTACATGCTAACATTTTTTTTTTTTTTTAATTTGTCCTCTACCATGAAGGAAAAAGGTGACAAGGATGACATTTACTTCTAGCATAGTCATAATTAGTCTTTACATACATAGAAGAAAAATAATCAGCAGTGTTACCACGTGGGTAACAGTAAGAAAGACCCTCCTCTCTCAGGGCTACTTCTAAGATAAACGGCCTATTCGTCTAGAGAGCACTTCCTGGTTCAAAGACACACTGCCACAAAGATGATGTCTGATGTTCTTGGTGGAGAGATTTTATAGATTTTTATTTTGCATGACTTTCAACTCTTGGGGCATTCTACCACCTTAAAATACATTAATTCACTCCTCTTTAGTTTATCCCTTTGCATAAAAAGTAAAATACACTCGTTTTTCCCTCTTAGACTATGTTAAAAACTTCTTACAGCAATATTGCATCATGTAGTTCAATTATGTCCCCTGCAAATTCATGTGCCAATGTTCTAACCCCCACAGTCCCTCAGATTGTGACCTTATTTGCAAATAGGGTCAATGCAGATGTAATAAGATGAGGTCACACCAGAGTAGGGTGGGCCCCTACTGGTGTCCACAAAAAAAAGAGGGAAATTCAGACATAGAGACAGATACACACAGAGGGAAAACAGGGAACAGTGGCCGCAAGTCAGAAGGAGAGGCTGCTTCCTCAAGTCTGTAGGAGGAGGCAGCCCTGCCCCACCTTGACTTCTAGCCTTCTTCAGATTTCCAGCATCCAGCACTGGATAATAAATTTCTATCATTTTGGACACTTACCTGTTTGTAATGGTTGCCCTAGCAAACAGATATAACCCTGAATTCTGCAAAGAGTTCAGTAAACAAAGGCTGACATAATAAAATAGCCATTTCTTAAGATCTCTCTTCTCTAAAAATAAAAAGCCCTGTTCATCTAAATTGACTATATAGTATATATAGTGTACTTAACTATTAAGAACTAGAGTCATCTTATTCAAATTTAAGTAATAATTATGTGGAAAAAAAGTTTTGTTGACCTCAGTAAGAAAACCATCTGCTGCAGTAAGCTAGACAGAAGGACTGCCAGGGTGGAAGCAGATTCCATGTTCTGGAAATTTGGCTCTGGTTTCAATTGCTTGTGCTATGAAGAAGGCCAGGAAGAAAGGCAGGGCTGATGATAACACTTCACTCGACCAAAGGAAGACCCTGGCAGAAGGGACAGCCTGACAGAAGTCTTCTAGATCCTTAATGAAAATGTAAAGTAACACACTGCATCCCAAGGAGGGCACAAGAGACTGATGAGTTGATTCCAATTCTGGACCCTACTGGAGGTTTGCAGCAGACACCGAGTATCCTTCAATGTCTATGTAAGACTTCAACATGACAGGTAACTGAAGAAAAGGAACATGTAGAGAACTGAGAAGCTGGGATTTGAAGTTAAGGGTATAAACTGGTTAAATTCTGGTAGATTATTATTTATAAGATTGTGCTAGAATGAAAATATCTTGAAGCCAGTGCCTAACTCTGTGTTATCTCATACAAGCTGCTCTGATGTGTGGCTCCAGAACGAACTGCAAGTGGAATGACATAAACAGAAGGAAGTGCATTGTGAGAACAGTGATCATTGCACTGTGTTACTGGGCTACTTCTGATTTGCTTTTGTAATGCACATATAGTGGCCTGACTCTATAGATGAAGTGTTGTGCTAAAGCCCTAAACAAGGAAGAAGGGTTAGGAGCTCAGGACCTCTTCCTTCTTTTTCACTGCTCTTCCCTCCATCCACTCAGGTTCTTCCCCAATGCTTTTATTCTGTAAACCACAATGACATAGTTTGTTGGAGTCTTTCTCAGAGTATAAAGGTATTACTATATGCACTCAATGAAAGCATTCTAAACACCTATTATATTCTAAACACTCTTTTGAGGACTGGGCATATAGCAAAGAATAAAACAGATAAAAGCAAAATATGCAAGCAAGCACAACCTCTCTGTGGAGTTTACATTCCAGGAGTGGGAGACGACAATAAGCAACAGACACAATAAGGAAGCAAATTAATTAGTAAGTTAGAAGGCAATTATGTGTTCTGAGAAAACAGAGCTGGCTGGGGAGATGAGTGGGCAGTTGAGCGGGGATGCTCGAGTAGCAGCAGATGGTGATTTCAAGGAAGATAGTCAGGGCAGGACCAATTGAAAAGCTGGCATCAGAGCAGAGGGAGACAGTCATGTGAGCATTTGGAAGAAGAGCATTCTAGACAGAGAAGAGCCTGAGCATGTCTGGACAGTCTGAGGAGAGCAAGGAGGCTGGTGTGTGGAACTGTGATGGGCATCCTAAACAAAGAGGCCAGGCAGCAAAGGGTGTCAGGCTGCAGGCCCCTCTCAGGACATGGGATTTTACTCAGAGACTGGAAGAACCTGAACAGAGAAGTGACATGATCTGCAACTAGGTGTGTTTTAAAAACACAGATTCCACCCTCTTCCTCTCTCTGCACCACTATCCTGGACTGGGCCATCATCTCACACGTTGATTCATGCAACAACTTCCTAACAGGTCTCTCTGCCCCTTTTTGCTCCCCTGTATTCTATTCCCAGCACAGCCAGAAATACCATATCAATTTGAGTTTGAAATCAAACCTTACTTTAACAATATAATACAGCAAATCTATATGGATTATCTAGCTATTAACAGAATCAAAAAATAGAATTTACAAACTAAATTGACTGCTTGTTTATTTTCAAAAATATTTATCATTTTTAAAGGTAATGACCACATGACTCTTTCACAGAAAGCACAATGGCTCTAGTGTGTGAATCTGAGGCTATGCAGGGATAGAAAATTCACTCAGAGTAGTTTACACAAAGACAGGACTTAGGGGGAAAAAAAAACCCAAATGAGCAACTGGCAACTAGAAATCAGCTACAAAGAAGACAAAACATTTCTTCAGTAGGAACATAAACCAGAAAAAAAAAGGGGATGTTTAAAATTAGATCCTTGTGCATTTTAATTGGCATCTATCTAAAGAATAATTATATCTAACAGTTTAATGAGGCCTACAACCAGTTGCTGAATTCTCAGCTGCCCTTATACTCTTGCAATGCTCTTAGCTGCAAGTGTGCTAGTCTTAAAAGCTGAGGTCTATACGTGAGGCAAACAAGGTGTGCATGAGTTTAACTGTAGACAGCAGGTGCTGGAGAAAGCCTTCTGAAATTATGCAGTCTGTTTTCTGCCTTGTGGCAGTAGTACACACTGCCCAAATCAGAGCATTAATGGACTGCTCTGCTTAGGAGAGATGACAGGCAAGTGGCTTATTTTTACAAATCTCTGGTGAAAAGGGTCTCCTGCTGTACTCTGACTGCATCACCTCTAGGGTAGTTAGAAAGCAAATTCCTACTTATTCTAATGTTCAGTCCAGGTGGTCATTATTAATCATCCCTTATATTTAGTGAAAAAATAAATAAAATAATCTTCCCAAAGCAGACTGTGATAAATGTCTATTATTATACATAATAATGAGAAATATTTAAGATGTAAGGGATTGTTTTTAGCAATAATGGTAATATTATTTATTGTAAGTATCAAATATAGTTAATCTTGGTATTGTTAGAAAAATATTTGAAAATAAAATAATGGAAACTAATTTCACTTTATTAAAAAAAATGTTGCATATTTCTCTTTTGGGCTTCTTTTTGTGCTATGAGCTATGTGAGTATATGCTATGTTTTTTAAAATAACAAGTCTAATGCTCCTGTGCAGAATAAAATGGTACTTACAAACATTCCTTTGGCTCTCATCTACCAAGACATTTTTACGTAACTCATTACTGCTATCTGTTAGACAACTATGTGACAATTTGTCAATTTCAACATAACCCATTTCTCGATTCTGCCAATTCAACATATTTCCCCATTGGATGCACTCCAGTGCTCTGATCCCATTAAATGACATTAATAGCAATTTAATGGAATACTTACTTCATCTTTAAACACCTTTCCATGTTCTTCACACCCAGGTAAGCTCTGTATGAATTCTGACACCTGTCAAAAATAATACCAAATCTCTGAGTTAAAAAACAAACCAAAACAAAAAACTCAAATGCTACAGGTTCAAAATATTTAACCCAGATGTTTTAGGAATCTGTTAGAATAATTCCTTCTCTTACAGGGAGTAGTGGGGAAAAAAACCCAAACAGTACCCTATCTACTCTCAGTGTGTCAACTCCCATAAGTCATTACTCTTATACCTGCTGCCTGAAAGACAAGAAAATAAAATATACCTCATCAGTGCTCCATTTGGAAACTTTACTCGCAGGGATTCCAGCAACAGTTGGAAGAAGTTTGCTCTGCTGCTCCCAGCGCAAGGGCAGACATGGAATTGGGGACTTAAAGGACAGAAAGACAGCTGACCTACGCTGTGCCTGCTGTACAGTAGGTTCCTCCCGGGCACCTGCTCAATTGAAACAAATGGGATATCATTCTCTGAAAGCAGCGAAAAAAGCCCCAAATGCCATGCATCTCCCCCAGATGATGAAGTTGTGGGAAGAGGAGGAAGTTTAGCGGGATTCTTTTCAACATCATGTCATTGAACAATCACCATCTCCTTTGTCTTTACTGAAGGTCACTGGAAAAATCAACCACATTCAACTTACATGTTTGCTAAGCATCCATTATTAAAGCCATGTTTCATTATGTGGGGTTCAGTGTTGCCTCTTGAATGCTGCAGATGAGAAATGTGCCACAAGGAAAGTAACTCTCACCTTGGTAAACTGTTCCTCTTTCTGCCTCAGAAGTCATAGAGGGAACAGTTGCCAATTTGCATGCTCAAGTGCAGCAACTGTGCTCACCAGGTGGTTACTATACTTGTTCCCCCTTTTGACTCCACCTTGGTTTGTTTCTAATTTACTAATCAGGGTGACTTTTATGTAGCCAACTTAATTTTTTTTATTGAAAGGAGATAAGAAATTACTGCAACAAAAATAAAGAAGCAGAAAGGCAAAATGCTTTTGTGACTCTTGTGCAGATCAAACTTAAATTTTCAGAATTTTCTATTTACATGCTAGATCTTCAGAAATCAAACAGGTATGCTGCTGCTTTGTAAAAACAGACATTCTCTAGCAAATGACCTCTGTCCTTAGAACTCTTGACTCAGACTGCCAGCAGAAGAAAGGCAACTCTTCCACGATAGACTCCCATCACACACAGGTCAGCTGCGGGGATATTTCAAGTCCATCAAAAATCCTTGCCAAAATGGCTACTTAGTTTAGGTTTTTCCCATTTTTTTTTTTTGCATGCATTCTCTCTAAAAATATATTCAAGTTAGCTTTTTTTTTTTTCCCTTGAAGAATAAGATTTATAGAAAGGCACATGAATTTTAAGTGTACAGCTCATTGAATTTTCACAAAGTAAACATATCCAAGTAGTCAACAACCAGATCAAAAAGAAGGTGGCCAGCACATTCTTATAACCCCACTGGTTCCCACCAAGGGTAGCTATTTCCCTGACTACGAACATGGTCGATTCATTTAACATTTTGGAACTACAGTTAAATGGGATCACTGGTGTTGATTTCATTGAACAGCATATCTGTGAGATACTTATGGTCCACATAAAGACAAGCTCGTGAGAAGTGCATATTCATGATTTATGCCCATTTTGTCCACTGGGTTGTCTTTTCTTGTTCTCACGGATTTACAGATGTTAGCTAAGTACACACTGGGTAAGACTCCTTTGTTGGAAAAACACATTACAAATCTCTCTCCCACTCTGAGTCTTCCTTTTTACTTTCTTAATAGGATCTTTTGAAAAACAGAAGTCCCTAACTGTAATAATGGTTATTATTTTTTCCTTATATGCTTAATGCTTCACATGTCTACTGAAGAAATACTGTTTTCCCCAAAGTCATAAGAAGTCTACTCAGTTTTCCTCTATAAACACTCTATGTGCATTTCTTATATTTAGATCTATAATCCTTCTGAATTTATGTTTGGGGTATTTATGAGGTAAGAATAAATATTAGTGTTTTTCACACATGGATTTCTAACTACTCAACCACAATTTACTGAAAAGACCATCCTTTTTCTACTATAATGAAGTGCCAGAGTTTCCATCCAGATTTTTCATTTTGACATACTGACCTCTTGACCTCAGCACGGATTTAATTACTATCACTTTGTAAGTGTTCTGATATCTATGAAGTAATCTTCTTCAAGACTGCCTGGGCTATCTATCCTTTCTCCTTTGCATTTACATGGAAATTTTAAAATCAGCTTGTAAAAAAAAAAATGAGAAATGATGTCTTCACAATACCAAGTCTCTCAATCCATGAGCACAGTATATACCTCTATTTCTTTGGGTCTTTTTAAAAGCTCTCATTAATATTTTGCCATTTTCATCTAGAGATCCTGCACACCTTTTATTAAATTTATTCCTAAGTATCTGATGTTTTCTGATGTTGTTACAGAGGCACAGTTTTCTTAAAAATTATTTCCTCTTGCTCCATTCTGATTTTCTAGTTGTTGTTTTTTTCCTCTTCAGCTAGTCTAATCTAAAATTTAAATTGTTCTAAATGTTATCAAGTCACTTTACAAGGTCAAAAATCTATTTTTACATGAGCTAACACCTACTGGTCCTGATTCTGCTCTGTTAGGCCCACACAGCAAATTTTCTCCTATCATTTCATATGAAACATCTCTCAATATTTTTAAATTTAAATTTAAATTTAAATCTTTAAAAATCTCTCGACATTTTTAAAAAAGTCACTATAACTCTTTCCACATTTCATTCAATCAGTCTCAAGGTTTTAGATCATCATCTGATTTTACCAAACCAAATGTATAAACCAACACCAGTTTGTTTTATTCTTTTTAAATTATCCAGAGCTCAAAGTAGTTTTGTGTAGCCAGATAATAGGATAGAGGCTGGGAAGTATCTCAGTGGTAGAGTGTTTCCAGCACTGCAAAAATAAATAAATAAATAAATAAATAGGGGTGGATGAGGGGAGGCTGGGGATTGGGGATGTAGCTCAGTGGTAGAACAATTGCTTTGCATGTATAAAACCCAAGGTTCCAACTCCAGCACCAAAAAAAAAATAATAATAATAAAATTAAAAGAAAAGGGAGAGGGGTTGGTGACACCTTAAAAACATTCCTTTAATCTCAGATATTACCAAGAGTTTAATAATTATTTGAAATACAATCACTGTGTATATGTCACAAGACAGGCTCAAATGAAATGGTAAGGTTTCCAATTCCATACTAGAGTAAAATAATAGAAATTACTTAATTATTTGTGTCTTGACTCTTTGCCACATACAGTCCTTTTTAAACCCAAACTCTACCCTGTCCTATGTATATGTTCCATTGACACCTGGCACTTTTACTTTGTCACTATAGCTCCATTCTATTTCCTACTACAAGTTATATTACTTGTTCATCACAGTTCTTTTCCAATGCTCCTACATTATTCCTCAGAAAAATAACTCTAAATTACTAAAAAACCTAAACTTCCTGTATTTGTGGTGACTTCTGCATGTCTTTGGACTTGATAGTATAAGCAGGCCTTAGACACATACTACACCACTCCAATCCTAGTACCAACTTTGCTTCCTTCACTTTGAGACTCCACTTCCATTTGCTGAATCTTCTGTGCTAACTGATGCCCAGAGATCCACTGTTATTTTTTGACAAAAGGGGTAACTGCAGTGTTTACCAGCCATAGAACATACCATCTCCTATGATTCTAGTCCAAGAGGAATAAAAGCAACTTCATTTGAGTGAATCTGTATTTGATTCTGTGAATTGCTTAGAAAAGTGAATCCAGGTCTTTACTTAATGTGTGATAGAGACTAAAATAAACGCAAAGACATTTTGGCTCCAATGGCTGGCTCAGTGTCAAGAGCAAGGAATGGTTAGTCTGAATGTGTACAATATGCTTTGGAAAACACAGTGTTTTGTTCTGTAAGACATTTCCACCACAAGCATTTTATTAGGATTCTCTTTCTTACTATCCTCCTTTGCAAACCAACTACCTGCATGAAAAATAAGACTTTTAAGGAGTTTCCTATAGTTTTCAAGTTTCCTAAAATAAAAATTGACCAAATATATCTGTTTATATTGTTTTGACTCTTTTGTGTTCCTTTAAGCCAATGACAAAAGTGAAACCAAAACCTTCAAATGCCTGCTGCTCGCATTCTAGTGTTGAAACAGTGCCATGAAGGAGCTTGTCTCTAAGATGGGGAAACTGAGACCCAGCCCTCATACACCCAAAACCACACTGAGAGACAGGAGCCACACCAGGGTGTGGCCTGATCTCTTCTGACTCCTGATATAAAGTATAGGGTCTGGATCCAGATGGTGAGTTTTGGAATAAAGCTGAGAGGCTTGGATTCAAACCCCTACTCCATCAGTATAATACTGGCTAAACCAATTTACATGTAAGGATTACAGGATATTTTCTAAATGTTTATCCTAGCATTTAACATGTACTAAGCACTTGGCAAATGGGAGAAATTACTACAATCTTGAAAGAAAGGCATGTACTTGACAGTGTATCGGACAAAATGAAGAAGACTCAACAATCTGTCTCAGCTAATAATCCAGAAGACTACAAAATATGTTCTTAATGTGAAAGTAAAAAATAAAACCAAAAGAAATGGGATATATCTGGTCATTATTATTTTTTTTTTCCCTCAGATGAGGTTAACTGTTGACTAAACATAAAATGATCAACAACAAGTGTTTGGGTAGAATAAGCAGATTCAAAGGATAGAGGAATACAGAGATTATTATCTTTCAAGACACTTAACCTCAGGCATGAAAAATTTTTAAAGATCACTTCAAGTTAACAATCAAAATAAACAGACTGCTATGGAGGAAAAACTAGAGCCTGGTTTTTCCAGTAAGAATCTGGCACATTACAACATGGCGTCAACTTTTTAAAGATTTAAGCCCTCTGTGAGACAGAATTCTTGAAGGAGAGAAAACAAAACCATAGAAGCATAAGAGTTTAAACTTGAAAGCCAATCTACAGAATTCTTTATTAATGGGCCTTTCCACCATGGTGGAAATGAGCTATTTATCCCTTCAAGTAGAGAAGATAAGAGAAAGAAGACTATCAAATTATATTCCATAAAAGCCTCTAAATGTCCAATTCCACAATAGGGCATGAATCATCCAAAAAGGGCTTATAATTATGCATACTGTGCTGAATTAAACTGAATTAATTGAAGAGACATAGGAGGAATCCTTTTTTTCTTTTCTTTTTCTAAAACCAATTTGTTCCAAGATTCCAAACAAAATCATCTTCGTGGACCTACTGAGTCACTAAACCCTACTGGGTTTGGAAAGACATTCAGGGTGGCTGCTTCTCAGTCTTCTCTGTGGTTAAGTGCAGCCCACTGCAATGGGCAGGTTCCCCTCACTGCTCAGTAGCACCCCCAGTCCTGCCAGATCTGGAAGGACCAAAGGAATGGAACTGAGAAAGGGCACTGCTGGGCACCTCCTGGGCTCAAGGGAGTGGGCCGCAATGCAGCACCTGTACCTGACCTTCACCTTCACCAGATTTCAGGGATTCTGTCCTGACCCAAATGGGAAAGTGTTCCCTAAAAGACACAGGGAACTACTTCAGGGCTCAAAAATGATAAAACAGAAAACAATCACCATGGAGCCTCTGATAAAAAGCTCTACAAAAACATCAAAAGGGGAGCACTGATTTATTGACAGAGCTTAATGATTTTAGTAAGTCACAGGGGACATCACTTTTACTAAACAAAAAATAGGGTATGAAAAAAGAAGAACAAGACAACACCATTGGAAATTATAGGAAAATTAAACACACTGCTGTTAAAAATCCACGTTACAAGCAGTAAATACTAGATATCAGAAGAGGTTAGTGAGCTATTTTAATGTGGGAAACATGTCTAGAACATCAAAAAATGCACAAGCTGTTAAAATATTAAAAACTCTTTCACAGTGGTTGATAATAATCACCTCTCCACCCCACACTGGGCCCTTGTGGAGCTTCCCCAAGACACAGATCTGAAGGAAACTCATGATATAGCAGGGAGCTGTGAGACCCTGCTGGAGTAATAAGACCACTGCAGGTTACAACCATCCTATGCAATGCTGGCTGCTAAAGAAACTGCTAAATATTTTACATATCAACTCTTGGTTCCAATCCAACAACAGAAATCACTAGTCAAGAAAGAGACAGAGCAAAAGTAAAAGTTAAAACTATGACTGAAGGAAACTTTTTGGTTCTAAGGAACACCTGGGTCTAAAATAAAAAAAAAAAAGAATGCACATTACTTCCCAAGAAAAAATCATGCAAGGAAATAAAAAGTGCACTTAAGAACTGGGTTCATTTTTCAAAATCAAAAGACTGGACTGAATTGGGGTAGCCGAATCTCACAGGTGTAAAACAGTATTTTGGTTTCATTTCTTCTGTTTGATTTTTCTTAAAAGAAAAAAATAGGCCAAACAACTGTCTAGACACAGTGAATTCTGGGACAGGCCACTCAATTCCCTTTCATGCTAAGGCCATCGTTCTTCTACCTGTTGCATTTTGAAGGCGCAAGAGCTGCCTCCCTCTCCAAGAGCTGCCCTAAGACAGAGGGAGCTTCTTTACCTAAGGACACCCACTTCTGGCCAAGATCTGAGGCCTGCTCAATCAGACACAAAGCCTGGCCCTCTCGCCTAAATTTGGGATAACTCTGAAGAAACTTAGGGCAAGGACTAGGTCTCTTTTGTAATCACATCCCAACTCGCCTTCTCATCCTATCCAAACCTATTTCTCTCAGTGTCTCATTGGTACCATTCCCAAGAACACTCACCAGCAAACCCCTAGACAACACTCTCTTCGTTAGAAAATGATTATGAAAAAAAAAAATCCACTCATTTCAAAAAGATAAAGGAAGTCTAAGAAAGATGTTAAGTGAAAGACAGCAAATGAAATGATTTCATTACAGATAGATAAAATTAATTTTATGGATGGGGGCTGAAATGATAGTGGAATGAATCATATATAATTATACCTATGTGCACACATGATTACGCAACCTGTGTAACTCTACATCATGTACCAGACAAATGAGAAGTTATACTTCATTTAAGTATAAGGTCTCAAAATGCAATCTACTATCACGTATAACTAATTAGAATTTAAAAAAATCAAAAATTGATTTTATGGGACACTTATTCAAAATGTTTCAAAAATATGAGAGACAGATAGTTATCAAATTCATTTTAGGAGGCTAAAGTTGAATGAGCCAGTAAAGGGGAAAATTATAGGCCAATCTCGTGTAAACACATAAAAAATGTTCACAACTTATTTTACTAGGCTTCCTTTCACAATACAAAAAGATAATAATTAAAATATGCATACCGAACTATTGGTTTTATAGGTTCAAAATAATAAAAATAAATGACTTGGAAAAAAATTACAAAATTAAGAATTATATATGAATTCTAGTAATGTTTCTTTGCAAAGAATTATAAGAGGAAATTCAAATCAAGAAAAATAGAAAAAATAAAAATAGAAACTAAAAGTAGGGAAAGAAAAGACCATACATATCAAGTGTTAATAAATCTAAAATTCTCTATTAAATGGGTAATTTTCTGGGGAAAAAAACTATCAAAATCATTTAGCAAATAAAAATTAAATAGGTCATCCAGTTAAACTACAGTATTTTAAATTATTACTCCCTCTAAAAGTTCAGGGCCTAGAAACTTTTACTATGGATCTGTGCCATCAATGAGATACAAAGACATTATTTCCCACAATATTAATAGTACTAACAAAAGTGGTATATTTAATTCTCAGAATGACTCAATGTGTGCATATGGGGACCACATCAAATTTTTTCAGGAGAAACTGAGGCACAGCCACAGGGCTAGTATGTGGCAGAGCCAAGACTTAATGAAGGCCATGCTATTAATTTTTGGTAGACCGATGCCTACAAAGAAAGGGTGAGCCTCTGTGTGAGAACTAGACAGAGCCCTGATAACAAAAACTTCAAAAATTAAATATTTTTCTTCTTTTTCAATGATCAGAAACATTTTAAAGAATCAAATCCTTGCACAGGCTTACTATGTGGCAGCCACTGGTCTAAGGAAGTAAAAATGTTACTGTGTTTCTCCCTCACTACAACCTCAGGAAGAAGTTATGTCACCTACTCCTTCTGGAGAGATGAAAAACAGACACATTAAGAGGTGTTTTTAATGACATGTCCAAGATCACACAGCTAGCAAGTGGCAGAGAGACTGAACCCTGGCCATCTGTAGGATCTGGACGTGGTGCCATAAAACATGCTGCAGACAGTGCTGAACATAACTTCCAAATTAGTCATTAATTATTGCTTTACGACAACCAGCTACAAAAACCCAAGCACCACTGAGCGAGTAGGTCACTGCAGAGTCATTAGGATCCATTATCACATCTTATATGATATCCAGACAAAAAAAGGGTACGTGAAAAGCAAAGTCTCCAAGAATAATCATCACACTGACAACCAGACATTTTCTTATGAGAAACAAATAATAAGTTATATGTGAATTAATAAGTACAATCTATACCATGACTAGCAGTGGTTACAACTTAATTAAATTACTGCCTTTTAAACAATAATGTGAGTCAAATTACTTTCTCTAGTATAACTTAAAACATTTGTTCAAATGATTTTTGTGATACTGAATGAAGATCATATTCTATTTGGATTTCATATAAACTCTGAATTGAGTTTTAAACATATTAAGCAAATAACACCAATAATACTAAAGAAAATGTAGCCCAAGAACCAAGAGAATGTCTCTTACCAAGCTGTATACAATATATGAAACACATTGTGAATATAAAGCCATACATGAATCTTTATCATTATGAATTACATGCTAAATAAATTTTTATTGCCTGCAGTAAGGAATAAACCAACCAAATAAAGCTGATCTTTAATATAAATCTGACTACTGTATTCCAGTTAAATTCTATTTATTTTGCAGTGCTGGAGATCAAACTCAGGGTCTTATGCATGCTAGGCAAGCACTCTACCACTGAGCCACATCCCCAACCAATAATTATGAGCTTTAGATTCTTGAATATTAAGAGTAACACCCATCAATAAGATGAGAATATCATAGTTACCTCTGGCTTCATGTGATGTCCTCATTTCACTTTCTGTTCTCTCTTCAAAGTCTTCTTTGACATCATCAGCATGCTGGTCTCTGAGGGAAAAAAAAAAATGTGTTTCTGTATTTTAAAAGAGGAGCATTTTAAAAAATAGTTCATAGCTATATTTTAACAACTGTTTTTTTTTTAAATTTAAAAAACAAGTACTACCAAAATATTAGAAAGGCTATGTAGTTCTCCAACAAAGCAATTAATACTAATAACATCTACAAATGCCCCACTTTCCTTATCAACAATTTTTTATTATTATTCAGAAAGGAGATTTTTAAAACTAAGAATATTAAGATGACCTATTCTGGAAAATGTAGCTATTTAATAACCCAGTAATAATTTCTCATGCATTCATGATAAATTTTACTTGTTCTGTTTGGTAAGACTTCAATTTAGGGAAAAAAAATAAAAAAGGTTTGGAAGTCTTGGACAATTATTTACATCATTTTACACCTCGGGTTCCTGGGACTTGGGATTGAAGCTGAGACTGGTCCATAAAAATCAATCTGAATTTAAGGAAGTTTTTCTTGGATTGATTAGGTCAAATCCATAAACTGAACTGATTCTATCACTTTTTGACCAGGAATGACCTAATACTAATCTAAACATAGTACTGACTGCCTAAAATAGAATGGGTTCATTAAAAATCTTAATTTAGATCTTTTCCCTTAAGCCAGGAACAAAAATGGCTCTAAGAAACTGGGCATATGATACTTATTTAAAGCTAAATTTCAGAGATTTGAAAAATTTCAACCCAATGTATTCCATTTTCAAGGTTCAAAATAAACCTCACTTTGTAATTTCCCCTATCTAGGATACAGTATCTATCTGACTACATATTTCAGTGCTTTGTAAAACTCTCACCCAGACCTCTTTTATTGTTGAGTTTAAAGAACAAGGCAAATGCATATAAAACAAAATATCCCAACAAAACATAAAAGGTTCTACAGTTTTAATTACAAAATATTAATTTATACTCCATTTAAAATTATAACAATGTAACATAATGATGCTAACATAGTAAGCAGGCAATCAATGTTTTAGAAAAGATTATTTCCAAGAGCAAATGTGAAATTTCATTTGAACCTGACCTCTTAGGCTTGGTTCATAATAAAAACAATCAGTCACAACTGCTTAAAACTATTTGTGCTCAGTTGAGAATGGGGAAGAATCACTTTAGTTGTTTAATTAAATTGTATTTTTTCAAGAAATTCAGAAAGCTCTGAATTAAGTTTTTTTAAAATTTTTATTATTGGTTGTTTAAAACATTACATAGTTCTTGACATATCATATTTCATACATTTGATTCAAGTGGGTTATGAACTCCCATTTTTACCCCGTATACAGATTGCAGAATCACATCGGTTACACATCCACTGTTTTACATATTGCCTGAATTAAGATTTTTAATGAATCCATCCCAGCATATTTAGTATAGTATTCGGTCAACTCAATGGCAGAGGCTCTCACTCCAGAGAAAGTAAAACAAATGTAAGAATATCACTGATAACTGAAGAATGAATGTCAGTTGAGGTATTGATAGAAAACTTTCTTCTCTGTTAAAGCAGTGCTGAAGTCACACTTTGTGATTACAATATGTTAAGATCGGCGTACTTTGCACTAAAAATTAACTCATAAACTTACAAACTTGTTTCATATTAAATTGAAAATAATATTCTTTGAGTCAAGTTCTATCTCAATAAATACTGATTGTAGCCAATGAAAAATGTTGCTTATGGGTAGCTATATTGATATTTATTGGAAACATGCATTGTGGTGATACAACTTAAAAGTGGCTTTTCCCAGAGTCAAAGAAAATATATTCCCTTAATTACTGTGATGTTCCTAGAAACTTTGATGATTTTTTTTTTTTTTTTAAGGAGACAGAGCAAAGACTAAAAATAAGTTTTAGACTTCTCTGTGTAAGTTTTCAAGTCACTTTCTACTGGAAATAGAAAGAGAAAATAAAACCTTTGACCCTCCTTGTTCTACAGTTTCAACTTCCTAAGCAAAAGTTACTCTAGTTACATAGTCTTTCAATTATAGACAAAGTATGTTTATATGAGAATGTGAAAACTTTGGGATAATATAGCAGTATATTCTGCAGCATAATACAAGATATGCTTCCTGACAGATTTTTAAAAAGTAACTACCTGAAATATTTTTATACTATTGTTAATATTACAACATCACTTAACTTAAAAGCTTCTTGACCTGCTTTCCTTGATCGACACCTCTTGGTGCCAATAGTTATTTAGGCGGGAGCACACATTAGTTAGAGATGGGTGTATCTCAACACAGAGAAAGCAGCCCAGCAACAGTGGTTACATCCTTGGAAGCAAGATGACCTGGTTCAAATTTCAGCTCTGCTACTTACTCATTTCACAGGACCTTCAGCAGCAAGTCACTCATTTTCCCTAATTCTCAGGTGCATCATCTATCTATAAAACAAGGATAAGCCACCCTCACAGAGAGCATTTTGAGGACTAAAATAAAAATGTCTAAAAGTGCTTAGCACAGAGCCAGGAGCATGACACCTGGCAGTGATGACTATTTTCCAACTACTTATATATTAGGATAAAATTACCTGCAGATCTGTTTCTTTTGACTATTAAAATAGGTTTTCAAGTAATGGTGCCTACAGCTGAACTGCCTGGGTTATTGGCCAGGTCTGCTCCTGAGGAGCAGTGTGGCCGGAACCAAGGATGGGGGTGTAACACAGCACCTACATCACTAGAAGCCTGATCAGAGTTAAGTGAGCTTGGGTGGGAAGAAGCACCTAGAATATAGCAATTTCTCCTGGGATTTTAGAATTTTCCAGAACCAGTTTTCTTCAATTTAAACTGAAATACAATCAGCAAAATTTTACTCAAGAATACTCTTTTGGCTTTTAATCAAGACAGTGGAATCCACTCAGAAAAGCATGTTCATTGTGAGTCAGCATCCTCCTTTTCTCTGTAATTAAGCAGCACATTTTAGATGTCTTACTATCTTACTCTAATTATGCCTTGTGGTAAATATTAGGGAAACAAACATGAGAAGAGTAAATGCCTAGGAATAAGATGTCATTTGAATGCATACAGCTGTATTTCCTTAAGTTTGTTTATTTTTCATTTAAAAACAATCCCTAACCAATTATGTTTCAACTGGTACCCAGTGTGCTAAAAACGATAGAGGAAAAAATATGAAACAATAAATAATTTTGCCTCAATTTAAGAATGTATTCGTTTTAACCACCTCTCTAAATTCAGTATGTAAGGAGGAAGTAGAATATGCAATGTTAGCAGAAATGTGCCATATACGTCAGGAGCTTAAACCTCAGTGACTATCAGCCCATCCTCAGACACACTGCCACAGGTCAAGTGCAAAAGGCCTACTCCTTACACTAGCTTGAAATAAACTGCTATAGTTTGGATCTGAAAAGTTCACAAAAAGTCCATGAGTTAAAGACTTGGTCCCCAGCCTGTGGGCCTTTGGGAGGTGGAGGAAATTCAGGAGGTGGAGGTCTAGCTAGGCCATCAGAGGCATGTCTTTGAAGGGGATACTGGGACCCTGGCCCTTCCTCTCTTCCCTTCCTTTTGCTATCTCATTGCAAGATGAGCAGACTTCTGCCACCCTCCTAACCTCCCACCATGATGCCACAGACCCCAAAGTAACAGGGTCAAGTGACCATGGCTAAAACCTCTGGTGAGCCAAAATAAACCTTTCTTCCCTTTAAGTTGATTGCCTCAGGTATTTCAACAATGGAAAACCAACCAACACACAACACACCTTCTCTTTCTGTAGTGGCTAATTTTACTCTCATAGGGGCCTTGTCAGGGCTGAAAAGGACTAGTACCCCTAGTAAGAAGTGGGGGCACAGTGAATGCCAGAAAGCCGTTAATAAAATGTAAGTTTTTCTGTTTTGAACTTCAAAAGGATGCCTATTTGCACATCCCCAGGAATTTTTTTGTTTGTTTTTTAATACCTAGGCAGAGGTCACATATAGGTAAAGATCATAGAACAAGAATCCCGAGGTTGCGCTTTGTAGGTTTCAAATACTTAACCTGTCTCCAAAATGCTTGTTCCTATAAATGAAGAACCTTGAGAAGCTTCAAGGCAAGGAAATAACCACCCTCAAAGGAATTCAGAAAGGTTGGGAAAATGAAACCAGTGGCTTAAAAGTCTTATGTCTATGGTTAACATTCAAATAAGGGATTTTTAAAATTAAATTCCTTTTGAAATAAATGATACTATAGCCAATAGTTTTGTTTTGTTTATTTTTTGGTACTGGGGATTAAACCCAGGGTGATATACCACTGAGCTTCATCCCCAGTCCTTTTTCTTTTATTTTGAGACATGATATCCCAACTGCTGAGGCTGATCTCAAACTTGTAAACCTCCAATCTCAGCCTCCCAAGTTACTGGGATTATAATGCATGTGGCACTGTATCCAGCTGCAGCAAGTTTTACTGAATCAGGTTTTCATAAATATGGCCCAAGATAAACATAGCTCACTCTAATGATTAAAAATAAAGACATTTTGATTAAGAAGCCCATTAAATTAGAAGTTCACATAAGGAACACATTAGTGAAGGAACATAATAAAAGCAATATAACGAGTGAATCAAGTGAGTCTTATCAAGATACTAAAGAAAAAACTGCAGAAAAACTCACTGAACAATTACTCCATCCTCCTATGGAATGGAAAGCCCTGCCCACTAAGGTGAGAACTGGGAAATAAACATGACATGTCACAGACAGAGTGAGACCACTGGTAACTTTTTGCTGTTGTGGAAAAGAGAATAGATGTCACTGCTGTTCTCCTTCTCATAGAAGAGTCCCCTGAGTAGGAATTAGAGACAGTCAAGATCCTGCTACAATACTGCTGCAACAACTTCACAGGCATCTAACAGAAACATCCATCCTCCCTTACACTTGGAATGGCTGCCTTGGCATCACAGCAGTTGGCATCAAAACCTCAGTGAGGGTTTAACTAAAACTGAGCTTTTTTCCGGTGCATACAAATGACTGCACAGATTAGACTTAGATTCCCAAGAGCAGG